CTGGAGTAACGATGCTGAAAATTCAGCTTTGATCACAGGAATAAACGGCTTTCTATTTTAATACACACTACCAGTCAAAAGTTTTTGAACTAAGATTTATAATTTAATTTAAGTTTTTTTTTAATGTTACAAAAGATTTCTATTTCAGATAAAAATGCTGTTCTTCTGAACTTTCTATTCATCAAAGAACCCTGAAAAAAAATACTACTCAGCTGTTTTTAACAATTTTTTGAAACATTAAAAATCTTACTGTTCAAATTAAAAACCTTTGACTGGTAGTGTACTTTAAATAGGGTTGGGTACAGTTCACATTTTAACCGGTACGGTACCGGTATCGGTACCTGAATTTCGGTGCCGGTACCCAACGGTACCTTTTTTCGGTTCTTTACTCTGTGTAATTACAAAAACATTTCAGTGAAAAAATAAGTCCAAAAGTCTCAATTTCAACATTTTGTACAATAGGGCCCTACAAACTTTTTCTTTATTTTATTCCCCCAGAAATTCTTGTTTTAAATTTTTTTGAAAATCAAATGAAGGCATTAAACATTTATTTTAAATCAAGTGAAAATTAAACCCTTTTATTTTTTGGCAAACAAACTGAGGTTTACTGTTGAAATTATCTATTTTTAGATAGTCTGGTTAATCAAGTACTTGAGAAATGAAACTACATTTTTCAACCGTAATAGTAATCTCAGTAGTGTTATATATATGTAAACTATATGAATATAACACTACTGAGATTACTATTACGGTTGAAAAATGTAGTTTCATTTCTCAAGTACTTGATTAACCAGACTATCTAAAAATAGATTTATAAGCGGTTTAACTGAATTCCTGCATGCTCCAGTAGATACTAAAGGCACCGCAACTCGTTACATTTTCTGAGGAACTACAAAAAAGGGTGGAAACATTTTCACATGATAAACTTAAAAAGACACTATGCAGCGATCAAAAATGTCTGAAGCATGTTTACACAGACCAAAAACCCAAAATTTGATTGGAAAAAAAGAAAAAAAAGTGGGCTATAAAAGCCAGGGCAACATTCAATAAGATGGAAATGATTGCCTCTATTCTGGAAAGATGCATTAAATTGATCAAAAGTGGCAGTAAAGACATTGTTGATATATTGTTACAAAAGATTTCCATTTCACAAAAATGCTGCTCTTTTGAACTGTATTCAAAGATTCATGGGAATAAAAAAAAAAATCTGAAATGTTTCTTGAGCAGCATATTAGAATGATTTCTGAAGGATCATGTGACACTGAAAACTGGAGTAACGATGCTGAAAATTCAGCTTTGATCACAGGAATAAACGGCTTTCTATTTTAATACACACTACCAGTCAAAAGTTTTTGAACTAAGATTTATAATTTAATTTAAGTTTTTTTTTAATGTTACAAAAGATTTCTATTTCAGATAAAAATGCTGTTCTTCTGAACTTTCTATTCATCAAAGAAACCTGAAAAAAAATACTACTCAGCTGTTTTTAACAATTTTTTGAAACATTAAAAATCTTACTGTTCAAATTAAAAACCTTTGACTGGTAGTGTACTTTAAATAGGGTTGGGTACAGTTCACATTTTAACCGGTACGGTACCGGTATCGGTACCTGAATTTCGGTGCCGGTACCCAACGGTACCTTTTTTCGGTTCTTTACTCTGTGTAATTACAAAAACATTTCAGTGAAAAAATAAGTCCAAAAGTCTCAATTTCAACATTTTGTACAATAGGGCCCTACAAACTTTTTCTTTATTTTATTCCCCCAGAAATTCTTGTTTTAAATTTTTTTGAAAATCAAATGAAGGCATTAAACATTTATTTTAAATCAAGTGAAAATTAAACCCTTTTATTTTTTGGCAAACAAACTGAGGTTTACTGTTGAAATTAATACATGGAAGAAAAATATATATTTTTTTCCTACAAGTGATTAATCTGGTTGTAATATTTACTTTTATCATTTAATTGTTTTATTTAAATTTGATAGAAAATTGAATATTTAAAGATGTACATTATATTATACAAAAGTAATACAAGAGTAATATATTTCTGTTACATGTTAAACCGTACTTTTATTTTGACAGGTTGCCATGAAGTTTCTGTGTGCATGCATACAGTATGATGATGCTAGTTTTCTCAAATGAAACGGTAAGTTTCTCACGAAGCGACTCTCACAGCAGCTCTGGAGATTAAGTTTGTGTGTTCATGCCGTCATATAGTGAGACGCAGAGGCCGAAAATCACCGCGAGTGTCACGCGTGCTTCAGTATTTGTGTAGTAAACAAAACCGCGTTTCCGCCATTCACACATACAGAGGCAAGGGGAGCATTCAGGATTCATATTTAAACCGTCTTTTTGCATTTTAATATTCACAAACACTAGTTCATATCACGATTCGAATTAAGTGGCAGTGGCTACTTTTGATTTATTCGTCCAAAATTGACAAATTCCGTGGCATTCCGCGCTATAGAGTAAATTACGTTTTTATGAATGAACTCCACGATCCCGTCAGAGTTTTCGCAGAAACCATATGGCCCTAGAAATGTAACCACACTTCAGAACATTTTGGCTTGCCCTGTGATTTGTTTGAACGAGGGTCTCTCTTTCTCTCTCTGTAGCATATGCACCCAGATGCGTTCTCAGGTACCAAAATTTGGCACCGATTGATTTAATGTAAATCGGTACTCTGTAGTACCGACGCAATTTTCGGTACCCTTAAAAGTACCGAGTTCGGTACCCAACCTTAATTTTAAAATGCAGTTATTTAACATTGCAATAATATTCCACAGTATTACGGTTTATACTGTATTTTTAAATAAATGCAGCCTAAATGAGCAGAAGAGACTTTTCAAAAACAATCTCTCTCAGTATCTAAAGTATCAAAGTAATGTCTTTGAATTTTCTTCATTTGGCAGGGTTTTCTCAGAACAATTTTAATTAATTTGAAATGATTATTCAGCATATCTTCGAATTAATTTGATTAATGTAGAGATTTTGGTCAACACTAATAAATAATAATAAATACAGATTTCAGTTTTGTCCTCATTGCACCTCAAACACGTTTTTATGTAGATAACAACACTGGCCAATACTAATGAAGTACTTATTAACAGCACTGATGACGCCTGTAGAAACTTGAGAATCAAACCCATGAACTTTGCCTACAACCATTAGCGTCGCTATATAATACACTCTCTGATTCCAAAATATCAAAAATACAGCAGTGTGCTGTCAGAACCGTTCCTCTCCAGTGTGTGCCATGCTAAAGGTAGACTGAAAGGTCATTGCTTGACAGACACAGGAGTTGCAATCCCGACCTGTCCAGTGTTTCCCAGAAGCGGAGGAAGACAGGCCGGTCCAGGTGTCGTTTGTGGTGGCTCAGCTCCAGCACAGTCACGTCCCACTTCTGTACATTTGGGTCCATCCGTGCCTCATCGTACTTCAGGTGAAAGGCTCGGACTAAATGAACATCAGCATGACATAAAACACTCTTTCCCATACGTAATCAATGTGGTGTATAGTAAATAATGTGCTGCATCTCCCCTGACAAAACTCACTTTTGGCAAATATATCCACGGGGGATCCATCAGGCAGCAGCCACGGCCAGCCCTTGAACTGCCAGGCAGGACCCTGGACAAACACGGCCACTACACGATCCCTGTGAACAAACAACAACATCAGTCATTTATGAGGTTGCTAATTTCGGTTTTGGCTGAAATGGTTTTAGAGGGGTGAAAGCATCGACAAAACAGTGGCATTTAATTAGCGTTTCTCAGATGGAACATTTGACAAGAAGCATACAGTGGGTACGGAAAGTATTCAGATTTTAGCAAATGGCTGCAATATAACAGAGTGAAAAACTTAAGGGGGTCTGAATACTTTCCGTACCCACTGTATATTTCGGGAAAACAACAACTGGTAAACAAGTCTGCTGTGTGGATGCTAGGGCTAATTTGACAACATTGATTTCTCAACTTCACTTGATCTTAATTTAAATGAACCAATATTGATTTTTAAAATCACAATATCAATCTTTTAGTCTATAGTTTTCAGTTAAGTGATTAAAAACATTACTAAGCATTATTCGTAGCGTACCTACCATCAAATAATCGCATGAAGCTTTGTGTCTTATGTTATAAAAGTGTATTAACCGCAAAGAGACTACGATTTAACTTTAGAGCATTTAGCTAATAACATGCAGTTCATTACATATTCATTATATTTTTACTTAACCTGTTAGGGATGTCTTCATTATTTAAAGTATGTCTGAATAGATCTGTCATGAAAAGTTATTACAGCCACAGCTTAAAATGTTTACATAAACCACAACCAATTGGGAGTAAAAAAAAAAAAAAAAGTAAATAAAAAAAAAGTGTATACAAAGACTGACTTAATGTGCAATTAAAATGTTTGTATAAAACTCCGCTTTATTTGAGTGTTGATTATTAAAAAAAATTTAAATAAATGCTTAATTGATTATTAAATTAAATAGTTTATTATTTTTGGTATAGGGATGCACGATATTGGATTTTTGCCGATATTTTGCAACTCATTTTGGCCGATACCGATATATTTCCTTTTGTTTGGAAACAACACAGTCTCGAAGCTTTGAAAATAACTATAAATATATATATATCAATCGCTGCATATTTTTTTCCCCAGAAAGATGCAGTGTTAACCCTAACATTTTATTTTAAGATTTAACATTTGTAGATGTTCTAAGGCAAAAGAGTTGTAAAAATTCTGAAAATCTTTTAGAGCTTATGATTTGTTTAAAAAACAAAACATATTACACATTAATGAATAAATCAGTATATTGTGGCATTGTGAGAGGTAGGGTATCACCAAAGTGTGGGTAGCGTCACAAATTGAGTCCAGGCTGAGGTCAAGCTACAAGTTTCTCTCTTTTTTTTTTAATCATCAACTCCAATAGCCAATAGTTACAACAGAGGAAAAACTCATCCAGCTTCTCTCCACACACACTCACAAGAAGAATCATAGTCCCTTTTGTTCCCAGCTCATCACCAGCTTTTTTTCCTTCACTCCCAACAGCTGTCTCCCCCCCCGCTGAGGAACTTGATAACTGTAGTTCGGGACCAGGTGGCCATCTTGGTTTGTAGTCTCCATGCTGCAGCCATCTAGATGGCACATACCTTCCCTCTATAACACAGCCTCTCACGATGCCACAATATATAAAATTATTTAATTTACAAGCGTCATGTTTGTGATTTTTTTTTCATGTAAGCTATAGCTTCTGACCTTTAAATCAAAACATACTCATTTTATGACATCAATTACTGCTTTATTTAGTCAGAAACACAGTCTAAATGTTGTGTAGGTGATTTTACTTTTAATTTAATTAGAAGTAGGCCAACAGCGCCCCCTACAGATTAAAACTCCTTACAGAACGGGCGTTAGGACCTGGGGGAGGCTGCGCTGCTGCACATGCTATTACGGTTTACTCTATCATACACCTAACGAGTCTTTCTGTACGTGCCTTCACATATTAAATGCAGCGATCCAAAAGACTGAATCTAATCATCATTCGGACAAAACTTTGCTTCAAGAATGAGCCACACTGCTGACGTGATCTAATCACTAGCACACCCTGAGCACATGAGAGTTAACTTATTCCTCTTATCGGCAAGACATATCGGCATAATTTTTCATATCGGTCCGATGCCGATATTTACATTTAAAGCCATTATCGGCCAATTCCGATATCAGTCCGATAATATTGTGCACACACACATATATATATATACACATACATACACACACACATACATACACACACACACACACACATACATATAATTATTTTTTTTTCTAGAGAAAGATGTATATTCACTTTACAGCTTTCCTGAATTCTGTCTCTATGTCCTCGAGTTTTTTTGCATTACATATTGGTATAAAAACCACATAATTTGATAAAGACATGTTTGTTCAAAACAGTATATTTCCTGTCCTCATCCATGCTGTTAAAGACGTACCTTTCTTTTGGTTAGGCGGGGGTCTTGCTTGAGAGACTAAATACAAGACAAAAATAAATAAATAAATAAAAGAAAAACACTCCAAATATGGACACATTGTTATTCTGGCCAGAAATAATTTGAAAATAAAATTAGAAATAATTTATGCACATGCTACCACTATGAAAATTTGTAGTCATTAGATAAACATGTTAAATATTTCATATGTGTATCTAAAATTATGCGATGCAGGATTATTTGTGCTTTCAAATGCCATCTCAAGCTCAAAAGAACATTCATAGTTTATCAAGGCGGCAACAGGGTGTCAAAGTATTGTACAGAACATTCCTCACATATCAGAGTGCAGGTACACAAACTGGTTAGTGTCAGCGCATAAGTGCTTTAGATGAGCGAATAGATGATGTTCAGATTACTTTTATAAATGCTCTTGATCTTAAAGGAGTAGTTCACTTTCAGAATTAAAAACTGACACTAACCAGTTTTTATGTACCTGCACTCTGATATGTGAGGAATGTTCTGTACAATACTTCAAGACACCCTGTTGCCACCTTGATGAACTATGAATGTTCTTAAGTGCGTCATCTCCAATGCCACTATTGTCAACAAATGGAATGACAAGATCTCTTGGTATCAAAGCAGAAGAAATTATTTTGAATTACAATAGATAAGTGAAATATACATATAGGTTATGTTCAGGAACATTCTCAGAGACTGAAAAAAAACTTCCATCTTGCTGCAGTTATGGCTGCAAAAATGTTTCCTGTTTTAAAAAGTAACGGAGAAATTAAATAACTGTCTATAAGTGATAACGTCACATAAGCAATATTTCAACTGTATTACGTTACACAGAATATTTCTTTAAACTTCAAGGAGTTCATCCATACCTGGTCTGGGAACAGGCTGCAGAGCAGGTGTTTGGGCCTTTCTAGCAGACGCACCTTCCTACAGAGAAATAGAGAGAAAGCAAGAGAAAATGCACATGAATTATGATGGTGAGTCAGACGCATTTCAATTAGTTCACAGCCCAATCAATCATTGAAGTGGTTTTCGTTAGTTTCATACAAAGATACACTTATGTCTTCCTTCTTGTCACAGTGGTATGGATATCATCTGACACTATACTCTGGTCTTTTCCCACTGCATGCATGCACGCACATATATATATTTAAAAAAAAAAAATTTTTTATTTATATATTTTTATATATATATATATATATATATATATATATATATATATATATTATATATATACACACACACACACACACATATACATATATATATATACATATATACATACATACATACA